CCAGCATCTTCACCAGCTGGTAAGAAGTTTATGTCAGACCTACTAATCAACAGCTTGATGGCAGAAGGGAGTCTGGAATCAGCCCTGGAGACAGCCATTGACAATGAAATCAAGGAAGGTGCTGGAGAAAACGACAAAGAAAAAACTACGGAAAGCAAGGACATCATTGCTGATGTGCCCCTCCTTCACCTTACCCAACAGCTGCTGAAGACATCGTCCACACAAGTGTTAAGTGAATTTCAACAATTATTTCTCAAGCCACCTACTTTACAGTGGCCCTATACCCCTCCACCACGCCCCATGACAGTCGAGTTACTGCTCAAGTTACAGAGGCTTGTTATCGGCAGCTTTTTCCTACATCATGAAGATGAAAGACCTTGGTATTTGATTAAAGGTTTGTTAGTGGTGTAGCAAACTATGTGGAAGTCGAGCACCCTTGTAAAGCGTGGTTTTCACTATGGACAACATGAGGCACAAGCATAAACATAACGTTAGTGAGGACCCCACAACATAAGCATTAGCGCGTAGGCATGCGCAGAATCGATAATTGCCTTATTTTTGATTCCATACCTCTTCAATACAGTAAAACAAGATGACGTACTTGCTTATGCTTATGCTCACAGCAGCGCGTTCTCACTCAGCATAAGTGCAAGCACAAACATAAGAACAACAAAAAACTTTTCTTCTACTTGTGTTGGTGCTTGCTTTGAGCGTCTTCACTACCATTATGCTTATGCTTGCACTTGTGCTTATGTCACAGTGAAAATCAGGTTTGATATAAACGTTTTCTTTTGTTTCCATAAATTTACATGGCTGCTGGTGGCTGCTGGCCACGGGAGTGAAAAGGCTCTATACTACACTCTTTGTAATGCTGCATGTATTATTACTTTCAAAGGTGAAGAAAAAGCCCTGAGTTGCAAGCAACAAGGTGCTGCACTACTGCTGCATAAGTATGCCACTTTGCTTTGTACCCATGCTGGGGAGATCCTCCCAGTAGCCTCATCATTAGCGTCAAATGGTCCTCGCCATTTTGTCGTGTCTTCCCAAATAATCCAGCGAGAACTAACAGGAGTGTTATTGCCTGAATTCCTGACTGCCATGGTCCTGCTCCAGACCTGCATGCCAAGTATTATGGACTCGTCAAGGACAGTTCCTCTTATCAGTGGCCTGCTTGACCTGTTAGACAAGTTTAACAGGCTTGCTCCTGGGGTGCAGAAAGAAGATGAGGAGGATCTGGCCTGGCCTGGTGGTATAGGCAGTCCAACGCCGGCTCGCAGGAGAGCTGATGGTGACATCACGTTCATTAGGCCTGAAGATCTGGAAAATCACAATAAGGATGGTGGACTGTGGGTTGTTATTCATGGTAAAGTGTACGATCTTCAAGATTTCAAGGATCAAGTAAGTAAAACTGCACTAGACTGCTTAGTTATGCATGCGTCTTTTGACAACGCAGTACTACACGCGTTTTACGCGCGCGGTGTAAGTGCAGCAATCCCTTTGACCGGTACTATACATATACAGAGAGTATCGCCACAATGTTTGTCAGCATACATCAATGAAGTGGTTCTGTTCCACTCATTATGTTACCATTGCTGTAATCCTTATTTGTTACTAGTGGCAGTGACTGTCTGCTGTGACAGATTGTTGACTTAGCATGATGTTTTATTTCAGGCTCCTTGTGGAAAGGAACTGCTGCAATCATATGCAGGTGAGCATTCCTAACAGTTAATCTGCATGTACATCCAATTGTCAACTCTAGTAAATGTAAATGTTATTAACTAGAATAATAGTTTTAATTCGTTCTTTTTAATTATCCATTTTCTTCAAGTAGCTTCTGATGCAACTCAAATATTTGAGGAAACCAAACATTCGGTAGAAGCAAGGGAAATGATGCAAGCATTCTTTGTCGGTATTTTCGTGGAGGTGAGTCAAATAAAGGCACATTTAAACGGATCAGTTTTACGTTTTTTCTGTTTTATTTGTTATCCATCTGTGTCTTCCTAAATGATTGTAATATAGCTAAGGAGAATAATCTGCTTGTGT